CGTGACAAATCCGAGCCGAACTTGCGACATCTAGGTATATTTACAATTCGAAAGTGACGACTTTTTCCTTGTACGTATCTACTTTTATTGAACTTTGCTCTTCGGGTAATGGAATAAAAAGTTGTTTGGAATCGACCAAAGCGGCTTAGTGTGAGAACGGCCACACGTGGACATTTTAACTTGAAGTGTAAGATTTGTAATTGTGAAACAAATTCATTTCTGAATACACGTATCGATGAATTTCAAGATATTTCATGGGTATACTATATTAAAAAAAAATTTAGAACGCTAAGGCGCGTATTAACGAGTAATTTTTACCTTATAATACGAAGTATTTAGTTTCGCAAAGAATGCACGCACGCACGCACTCATACGCCCACACATACACTTATGCGCGCAAAGACACACACACACTCTCCCACGCACAGTTAGATATCCTGCATTTGAAATTTATAAGTAAGACTTTTAAAAATTGCAATATGCTGGTGTATTTTATATTAGTCTTTGATCGTCATCGCTATGACCTTTTTTAGTGACTTCCAGAAAAGGAGGCTTTTTGTTTTGTCTGTTTTTTCTTGTATGTATTTCAATATGTTATAAACTGTTGGCAATGTTTATTCCCATATCGTCATAGTCGTAAAATACTGACGGATCTGACAAATATTACATATAAAGATCCGTCAGTATTCTACGACTATGACGATATTAGAATAGAATAAAATAGAAATATTTCTATAGATTCTTTTATTAAATTTATTCAGTTTAATAACAGCATGGCATGTATCATTGCACATGTGTATAGATTATAAGTGTACAAATCTTTGAAATTTAAAATATTACTGTAGTCTATTTATTGTATAACTAGTATTGTAGTTTTTATAAATTTTCTTACTAATAATATTATATTATGAATACGCATGTCGTGGCGGCCTTTAATTGAGACAGCATTTTATAATGTAACCATATTATCATGTACTTTAAGTAGATATAAATGTATGCTTTGTTGGTTGTCCTTAAATAAATAAATAAATAATCTTTATTCAAATGGACTTGTTAACAGGCTCTTTTAAATATTGATTGCTGGATTCGGGATCTTAATATCTACCGAGAAAACCGTCAAGTTACCCAAAAGTTACTCTTTTCAAATTATTATGTACAAGATAATTTACGAAGATAATAACAACAAGGAGGTATGCCAAGAACATATTATTATATGTATTTTGCAATGTCCATAGAACTGATTATACGAGGGTAAAAATATTTTTTGTAGTGAAAATCGCAGTATTTCATTGTCAGGCCAAGAACTTTTTATCTTTCCCTCGTATATATATATATATATATATATATATATATATATATATATATATATATATATATATATATATATTTAAAATGAATAATGATGGAAATTATTACTGTTAAATAAATAATAAAGATTATTAATAATATGTTTGTTGCGAAAATATAAGCTTGAATTATTAATCTGTCCACTCTTTACATTATCTATGGTACTAATGTCCAATAGTTTCCATGTATTCCACTCTCCAAAATGTAGTTATCACGTAGTCGAAGTGGCATCTAATAATAGCTAATTCGCTAAGCTTTCTAGACATCAATCTTGATAAACACAGGCCATTCGCTCCCTACATAATAAATCCACAATTAACTAAATCCACAAACAATTACACAGTCGTTAGAAAGGCTCAACTATATAAATAACGTACCTTTTCACTGCTAGTTAAGAATACAAACCTAGTTGAGATCTTCAAAAATATTTGCCCAGCGGAAGTTCATGCCGGGCTCGAATGGGTCGTCGGATGAAATCCTCTTTGTGAACGGCCGTATTCTGGAACCCTTCGTACTTTTACTGTCAATGGGCACTTTAGAAAACACAAGTGAATTTTTGAATCGAAATATAAAACATGCCCGACTAATTCGCCAGTGATTAAAAACGCCTGTAACAAATCAAATTAATCTGAACGATAACGGTAGGCTCGTCCACTACTACGTTCTTAGATATTTATTTTTATATGCCCAGTGGAAGTTCATGCCGGATTCGGATAGGTCGTCGGATGAAATCGTCTTTGTGACCGTCTATATTTTGGAACCATTTGTATATTCATCGTCAATTAATACTTTAAGAATACTGATTCTCTAGTAATGATGAATATTTATCAACCAACTAAAAAAAAGGTAAGGTAAGGTAATTACTTATAAACAGATTTCGAAAATTATTTTTATAAATCTAAAAGAATATACTTTCAGATTGGCCTCATGGAAATATCAAAATCAGTTCAGCAGTTTAGTTTTTAAATTAAAATTATTGATTTTGCGACGATTAAATTAAGTTTTTTTGTAGAACACAATTGTAAAATACAACCAAACAATTTTTTTTACTATTGAAGAGTCTTGCGATTGATCACGATCTCACCTGATAGAAAGTAATGATTTGGTCTAAGATGGGACTCGTAAGTCCACGAATAGTCTATTCACATTTGCCTTAAATTGGTACAGATTATATGTGGATAGAAAAACAAAAAAATTATCTCAGAGACTAAGATGTGTAGGCTTGCCCCTTATCACGTTGGATTTTAATGTGATCGGGGATATGAGACATGCGGAATATTTACTATAATGGCGATAGTTAACGTATCATCTTTAAATACCAGAGGGAGACTTTGTAAAAAAGTCGATTGCTTGGGTACCTCTATCGCATTCGTGTTTCTACCATGAAGCAGTTGTGTTTTCATGGCTGTATTTCGGTTTAAAGGATGGGATATAGCGTGTATTTACAGGGTACAGAGGAATAACACCTGAGTCCTCAGGAATGGCAACGCATGGGCGAAACAGTACACTCTGTTATGTCCATGGTACTGCTCATGTCTATAGGCGACGGTTACCACTTTCCATCAGATGGGCCGTCAGCTTGTTTGCCATTCTAAGTTGTATAAAAAAAAACCTTTTTAGGAATTAAAATAATAACTCTATTTATTTGCTCACCGTTAGTTTATGCCGGGCTCAAATGGGTCGTCAGATAAAATCCTCCTTGTTAACGGAATTATTCTGGAACTACTTCTATTTTTACTGTTGATTTTCTTTACGAAGATATATATATGGCTGACTGAATCTCTAACGATGAAGAGCATTGATAACAGACCAAATTAATCTGAGAGTGGCTGTATTCTGGAATTCTTTTTATTTTACCGTCGATTGACTATTATAGGAATAGTAATTAATACTGATTTTGTACGCGTAGTAATTCCATGTCAAGAATAAATATTGTTAGACTATATTTTGATGTTTTTATTCATTCTTTTCAATCCCATGTTGATTTCGTATTAATTTTATATACCCTGATCATTTGTTTACATTCTTTAAAATTACAGATTGCCCCTAATTATATAGTTTAGCAATAACACTTAAATGAATATCTGCTAAAATTTATACAATGAAATAAAATACGGTTATCTTTTCATAGATAGTTTTTAATTCCGAAATACAAAATAATCCCGGGCGCGGTCATTCCATAATACAACTCCAGGCAGGGACCGACTGCGGACAATCTCTATTGTTGTTTTGATTAAATTTCGACAGGGCGATGCAGATTGTTCTTTTATGCATCACAGGGAAATATTGTCTAGATGGAAAATATTTTCTATGGACAATCTGGTGGTGTGTCAAAATGAATATGCCATTCGCAAATGGACACAATGTGCTTTTGGTCGTTTGAATTTCAACTGTATTTGGTATTGTTTTAAGATATATTATCTACTAGCATTTACTCGAGACTTCGTCCTCGTGATCGGGATAAAATGTAGCCTATGTTCTCTTCTGTTCCAAATAACACTTGTATATAAATTTTATAGATATTATAAATAAACCATTATTTATTTATTCATTAGTATATATATATATATATATATATGTGTACATGGCGGACTTAATGCTAAAAGCATTCTCTCCTAGTCAACCATAGGGAAATGTCAGTATACTTGAATGCGGTATTAATAATTGTTGATATAGATACATACTAAAATTAAGGGATAATAAACATATAAAAAATTAACTTAATTATATTTTAATGTATCTAGTACTCGTAATACCCTTTTACCTTACAACACGTAAGATTGGATCGAAAATGCTCGACTGAATGCTTTACGAATATGTGTTATAAATAAGATATTAGTAAGGATTAGAATCCACTGAACAGATACCCAGTTTTTATATGGGCTACAATAATGTGAACGTATGATGATGAATAATAAAGCATGAGGGATTACCATGGATTTTCTATGACTATACGAGTATATTGTATCCTGTAACCTCAATTCAGTTGTTTATATCTATAGCTGACAATTAGCACTTTGCACTAAGTTAACTATCAGTTTGTATTGTATATTTGTATTTTTTATTTGTAATTATATGTAATAATATTTAAGAAATCATAATTTATAAATTTTAATTATTTATTGCATTACAAAATAATTAAAATGGCTTGAATATCCATGATATTAACATATAAACATTTTAGCTTTATATCAGAAGGGTTTTATATTACTGACATATAATTCTTAATTGTATAAATTATATAATTTTTACGTTAATATGTGTACAGTTAACTGCTGATATGACGATGTTACATACGATGCAGCATGTGGCGCCAGAATTTATTCCCAAACAAACAGGTCACGAATGAGACTTAAAAACACTGCCCACTACCACAAGAAAATATGTAATTAGACAGATGAATTTATTCCATTTTGTCACAGAATAATACACGAAATATACTAATTAAAATAACAATATTGTTGTCATAACAAAAGCTGGTGCATTTCACTGCAAACCGACCGTCCAGTACAATTGCAACGGTAACGCTTCAACGGACGGCAACACCACGAACTTGTCCTTGAACGCTTGCGCATGCGCGGGCGCATTGCGGAACACTTTCTAGAGACAACTATAAATACAAGATAGTGCAACATCTGATCACAATCGGAAATATGAGGTTGGTGATAGCATTTGCTCTAACATGCCTCGTGGTAGCATGGGCGAGGGAGTTAGGGGAAGAAGAGAAGGACCTGGTGGCAGCTGCCAGCGGGAAGAGTCATCACCACGAAGAAGGTGGCGGTCACGAGCATCATGCGCATCACCACCATGAGCACGGGGAGAAGGGCCATAAAGGACATAAAGGGCATCATCATCACCACAAAGGTGAACATGGACACCATGGGAAACACCACCATGAAGGACACCATCACGAGCACGGTGGAGGCCACAAAAAACACCACGATGAACACGATCATCACGGTCATCACCACGAGCATGGACATCATCACAAAGGTGGCAAGCATGGGCATCATAAACACCACGATAAGGGAGAGAAGACAGATGGCTACCACAAGAAGTATCATAAGGACCACTATCATAAGGATCACCACTTCTACGATGATCATCATCACGAAGGCAAGCATCACAAACACGGGCATCATGAGGGACACCATGATAAGAAAGGAGGCCATCATAAGAAGGGCGGTCACCACGAGCACGGCCATCATGAGCATCATCATGGCAAACATGGTCATCATGACAAGCATCATTACGATGAGGATCATAAAGGTCACAAGGGTCATCACGGTCATGAGGAGCATCATCATCACCATCATGACCATGGCAAGAAGGGCGGTCATCACGACCATAAAGAATGGGGTTTCCATCATGGGAAACACTGATCTCCATCCAAAGTACAGCTGTGATATATTACTTGTTACGGGTTTTTATTAGTTTTTTATGTAAGTATAAAAATAATAGTTGTTACTGAAAAATTAAAATAAATTATTTTTATTTTATTGAACTTCTTTAGCTGTCATGCATCTATATTTTTCCCCTTTTAAGCATTCTAAGTAGGAAAATATATAAAATAATATATAACAAATGATATTCTTAAATCAATTTTTCCCATAAAAAGAACCTTAATCAAACCTTAATTAAGACGGTTCTTTATAAAAACCTGATTTCAATTGTGGCATACTCTGTTGTTGTGATTTGAAAACTAAACTACTAAAACAGTTTTGATAAAATTCCGAAGACATCAATCTGTAAGTATATCCTAAAAAGATATATTCTTATATTTTTTCTATCTGAAAGCTAAAAAAAGTGACATAGTTATGAGGTAACAAATATAAAAAAATACGACTAAAAATACATCACTTAATATTTATTAATATAGATGTCACTACTGGAAATTTAGAATTTAAACGTCTAAACAGATTTGAATACAATTTGCTAAAGATGTTATTCTGTATATTAGAACAGCTCGATAAGAGAACACTTGACTGTGGTCTGGGAAACAAGTTATTACATACTTCCTATATCGAAGAGCAGTCAAAGTCGCAGTCTAGCAAATCAAGTCAAAGGTCTTCATGTATACAATAAAGTCTTTTCTATTCTGTAATACAAATTTAAAATTATGCAGGTAATGCCGCAGGTTATGGCTAGTATGAAAAAAGAGATTATACAAGAGCGAGATAGGCCAAAAAGCGAACCGCAAACAATTATCGTCCCGGAATTAGACGTCCCCCGGGCGATTTCTGCACAATTACATTTATTTGGCTGAGTGTACAACCGTTGGACTGGTACTACATCACCTAAGGTACAGTTGGGTCAAACATTAGCAGTTAGACACAGCAAATGGTCGAACTTCCGAAGTAACTTTAGGGTATTACGATGAGACCGCGGTCACGTTGGCTGAGAAAGCGTCTTGGTAATGTATAAACGCTGACTACAGATGTATATCGGATGAACATTCAATTTAAATACTAGCTGTATTCCATGGCTCTACCTATGTAAATCAATACTTACAATATCTTATATGCTACTTTACGATATGACATACCTGTGTATTAAATTTCGATCAAATCTGTTCAATATTTTTTTGCGTGAAAGAGTTCATTCATTAATCCATCCATCGTAACAAACTTTCGATTTATTATATTAATAGGACCTATAGTAGATATTACAATAGGTATTAGAAACAGTATAAAATTTACTAAATTCCTAATACTTTTAATGATAATATTTTAAATAAATTACTTGTAGAATAAGCTACCTTTTGCAATTTTTTCATTACTCTATAACATTAGGTTTAAAGAAAAAACGTGCTTAGAAATATTTGAATGGTCGAAAACATACTGACCACTCACATTGAAAGAGTTCGTGGGCGACGATAGCTACTTCTCATCAGGTAGACAGTTAGCTCGTTTATCATAAAAATATCATACCTATATCATTTTATTTTCTTTTTCCAAAGGTTATCTGAAATAGATTGCTTGGCGATAAGACCGACTTTGGTATCACTTCATATTAATCATTTATTGTACTTATTATTCTCGTAATTGGTGCAATAAAGTGCTCAGGAACATCTCTTGTTTCCAAATTATACTACTATAGACACAAAATAAAAACAATCGAAGGGATATTATTGTGTGAATGAAACATCTCGATGTGGAGAATATTTGAACTAGACGACTAGATTCTTACGAAGAATATAAATGTGAAAGTGATTTTGATTGTTTGTTACTGCAAAGCTCCTTAACGATTTAACTACTCTTATGAAATTCGGCATAGAATGGGCTACTCCTTCTTTTCCTGTGGGTGTCATAAGAGGCGACTAAGGGAACTAAATAACAGAGGGCAGCAGCGTCCTTCTTAAAACAATACCAAAGCCTAACTTCAGTAGCTAACCCATCTGCTAAGCGGCTTATATTCAGCAGTGGACACTTAATGGCTCATATGATGCCAGATCTCAGATGATGATGATGATGCAATTCAATATACAGGTACTATATAAAAATGAAGAAGGGCATAGGCTACTTTTTAACTTAGTCTGTGAAAATGCCCTGCCCATGCGGACAATGTCGCGGGTAAAAGGTAGTTTGAAACAAAAGTTTTAAAAAATGGCCTATTTGAAGTCGTCTAAATAAAAAAATCAATATCAGACAAATCCTCGCTTATTCCTTTGTTGGGGCTACGACCTAAATACCCTTGAGAACTAGATAATGTAATATAAGCGTAAGGGTACTGTATTGTTGTCTGTCTATTGTTACAATTTATCTCGAATCTTCTAACTCGACGATAAAATTTAACTTATATTTTGTATATTACCTTACGCATCGCTTCACTTTATTACTACCACTACATTCTATCTACCAACTTTAATAATGGCTTTGACTTGTTTATTTTTTAATAATAATAACGAAAACTTTCAAGTCTTTCAAAGTGCTCCACCATGCATTATTTAAGGCACTTTCTTCCACGCATTCACACACATTCACACACTCTTTGGAATCAACTTCCAGCAGCAGTATTTCCGAATCCGATATGACGTATCGTAACCATCAAGAAAAGTGGTTCAGTGGTTATATTTTCCATTAGGTGCGCTGTCTATATGTTTGCATTTCTATATTGAATAAACCGTTACAATTTAAAATTGTTTCCCAAATTGGTCCTATGGAAAATTTTAGCTGTCGCCCTGATTTACGCAAAACAACGTGCCTACCGTTGTACCACGAAGGACGGCAATGAAAGTGTTGAATGCATAGTGTTACATAAAAATCTATATCACAATTGTCTATAACTGTCGAAATGTTGAAGGGCTTAATCATTTACGCTAAATTGTGATATTTTGTTGACAACTGCGGTTTCTTACCGGCAACCGCAGGCAACCTTTAAACAAGACTCGATTGTTGTAACCGCGAAATATTGCATAGCTGCTTACTATCAATTTTAATTCGACTGTTTTTTTTATGAGATTTCTAAAAGGTTATCAATTGGCATCTATGGTTTTCTTTGTGTGTATAGTTTTGCATTCAATAGAATTTACTCATCTGGTTCTTTCAATTAGGGATGGGTAATATAGATACCGATCCGATATATAGATACCGATCCGATATATAGATATCAGATATACGTATATATAGATATTGGGTCCCTTTAGATATTGATGACGGAAAAAAGGTCATCACCCATTTCGATATCGCCCATATAGGTCGGATATATGTTTTTAAATATGTTAAAAGCCGGTAATTAAAAAAATAATATAGGACTTTTAGCATATTCGTTATAGCATTAATTATTTCCTTATTACTCAATAACTCAATACCACCAGAGGGAGACTTCGTACAAAAGTCGATTGCTTGGGTACCTCTGTTCCATTCGTGTTTCAACCGTGAAGCAGTTGTGTTTGCATGGTTGTGTTTCAGTTTGAAGGGTGGGATATGGCGTGAATTTAGTGGGTACAGAGGAATAACACCTGAATCCTCAGGAATAGCAACGCATGGGGGGGTATTATGGGCGAAACAGTATACTCTGTTATGTCCATGGTACTCCTCATGTCTATAGGCGACGCTTACCACTTTCCATCAGCTTGTTTGCCATTCTAAGTTGTATAAAAAAAAACTTACAGTTTATATCCTCGTCAATTCCGAACCGATTTGAAAAGTTATTTTTGATAACATTTATTTCCTTGTACAATTTTTAAATAATAACACTGACAACTAATTATAAGTAGTTTCCCAACGCATCACATCGAGACAGTGTACCCAAGATATACCAATATATAGATATTGTAACTAAAATTTATAGATATTGCTATATATTACCCATGTCTAGTTGCAATATTATTTTTTTATGATTACAATCGGTGTTTTTTTAGTGCAAAGTACGTATTTTTTTGCTGAGCTAAATATATTTACACATTGATGGTATTTATTTTATAACTAGCTTTTAGCCGTGACTTCATCCGCATGACCAGGATATGTTTAGTGCCCGAGACAAAAAATAGCCTATATTCCTATCCATCCCATAGAGTATGTATACACCAAACATTAGTGTGTGGGGGGAAAGGGATTGTTAGTAATGGAGACTGAGAATCCCGTTGCTAGCAATATACCCAACCAGGTCGACCTCCTCGCGGTTCTCCCTGGTAATTATCATGTTTAATTCTTGATGAATTCATCATGATGGGCTAACTGGCCTGTTTTCACTCTCATCTATCACCCTTCACTGGTGCTTCGCCAGCGTATCCCGTTAGCGCAGGCGGAGTTATCTTACCATTTTCACCAATCAAAAAAACAAAATCAGTGTGTGGTTAAGGCATTAAGACGCTATAAGGTAATAAACAAACAAACTCACTTTCACATTTATAATGTTAAAAAATATTATATTATTTTAAGCCGTATGCTCTCTATTAGAGAGTACAAAATGCATACAGTAGTTTTATAACTAAACCAATTTGTATTCGAAATCCCTAGGCAACACGGCCGAGACCTGAACACTGTATATAACGGAGTTATCTTAAACGGTAAGCTGAATACTGTTACTGTCATCGAGTTAAACTCTATTTCGTTATTTTGTATTTTTTTTTTTTTATTTTCAGTTCATTATTATTTTTTCACTTGATAAATGTAAACTCACAAATCCTTTATAACTAAACTGAATTGTATTTTTTGTCTCTAACGTGGCTTACCGAATAAAAGCTAAACGTGCCTTTTGAGGCACAAGGCAAAGAACAATCATTTTTAATGATTTCAAACGGAATTAAAATAATAATCATTTGAGCTGTGATTTAATCTTGTGACCCAGTTTGTGGTCTTTCTGGAGACTGCGACCTATAGGGAACTTGGTTCTTAAATATTTTGTAGCCGGTATATTGGTATAACTGTTAGTAAAACCTTATGGTTGAACTTAG